ATGCATCCTATGTGACGCATATTTAAAGGTCTAGAAAATTCAATCATAAACCAAGGAGAATGAAGACTTTCTAAATAAGGAGATTATTTAGGAAAGTAAAGATAGAAGACCTTTTTTAGGGCAGAAGTTTCTGCAGTTTGTTACAGCTGATTTTCTATGATTGAAGGCCCAAAACCAGTTAGGTAATAGGTTATAAATATAAGGGTTTGTAACCTAGAAAACACATGGCTCAAGATGTAGAAGTCTAGGGTTTTGTCAAGGTAAACCTCTCGGGTTGTGGGAAGGTTCCCAAGTCACCTTGAAGCCTGTAGGTAAGAGGTGTATTGTTCTTGGAGGAAGCTTTGAAGCAACTCCAGGATGTGTTCTTAGTTAGGATCAGAGCTAACAAATAGTGGAGTTTGGCTTAGAGACTTAGCTAGGTTGTCATGGAAGTGTGTCTTCCAAACTGTCTATCTGTGTGATCAGAATCTTGGTGAAGGGTCGTCGATGCAGTGATTGAGGTGTTGACTGCTAGACATCATTGTGATGATTGAAAGTGGGATAAGGATATTCCATATCTAGGAAGGACCTAGGTAGAATGGCCATTGGTTAGTTATTAAGTGTGTAGATTGTTAACAGGTGTGTTGGTTGTAGGGTCTACAAATTAATACTGCTGATAGTGGACTTCATTTCTGGCTTAGTAGCCCCCAGAGTAGGTGTTGTTGTACAGCAAACTGGGTAAAACAATTCTGGTGTGTTCTTTATCTTTTCAGTATTGTTTTATCTTGCTTGTGTGTTTATGTTAGATCATATGTCTCGACATCCTTGTAGGACATCTGAGTCTATTGTACCAGAATTTTAATTGGTATCAGAGATGTCATCTTGTTCTGCTCTGGGTGAGATCCTGGGAAGGTACTTTCTGGTCTTGGGCAAGGAAGAAAAGTATTTACTGAAAAGAGGTATGAACTTGGACAATTCATACTATTGTATGTATGCTCTCTTGGTAAGGATCATCGGTTATATGTGACAGGTATTGTTCCTGGTGGTTGCCTTCAGGCCTGCAGCTTAGTGGGAAGTTGTTGTATGTAAGGTTTACTTTCTCAATCCTAGGTTGCCATGCTTATACTTGGATAGTGGTGTAAGCATTGTGTCTGAATTTTGTTGAGGAGTTCGTTATATTCCACTGCATGGTTTCTGATATAGCCCTTAAAGTATGGGAAGGATACTAGGGTTGTTACTCTCTTGTACCCCAAAATTTTCCCTCCCATTTCCTCAACATTTTCTCATCACAAGACCTTTGAAGATCAAGATCCAGTAGGGTTTCCTCTGCTCAAGACTTCTCCTTGCACTGGGACTCAAATTAGGGTTTGTGTTTGCCTAAGGATGTTTTGACCTAAAATGCCCAAGATGACTTTCATGCTTCATATGGGACTCCCAAGTTTACCTATACCAAGTTTCAAGTCTTGATTCCAAGTTTTACCCAGTCAATTAGACAGTTGACCTAGAAATCAGCTGTATTGGGGAAAAAGTCAACTGTGGCCAATTGACAGTCAAACCTCATGAAATTTGATCCACATCAACATATTGAACTCACATGGACCATTTGATCAAGTTTGGATCACAATTCCACAAGAAATTTGATCAGATCACCAAAAAGGGCAAAATGGTCATTTTTAGGGTTTTGACTGCACAAAGGCAATTTTTGACTGTTTGACCTAGCCAATGGCAAACCAAGCTCACATATGGCCTCAAGGACCCCATGGAATTATCTTGACATGTTCATCAAGCTCAAAAGATCCCAAGTACACAAGATTGATAGTTGAATTTCCCAGTCAATTGATCAATTTTGACTGTATACTGAAAAGTCAAACTTTGACTTTTTGGTCAAAATCAAGAGTCAAGATTCATTTTTCATCAAAACATGCCAAATCATGAAACTTGTTCACCAAGAAATCACAAAATGCAAATTAGGGTTTGAAAATGGAATTTTTCATAACTTAGAATTTTTCTAAGTTATGGAAAACCCTAATTTTTTCCCAACTTTGCCCCATCTTTTCACCATGATCCATTGGGATTCAAACAAAAGTCAAAACATGAAAGTTGTAGCTTGTTGCATAATCTACAACTTTGATTCACAAAGTTTTCTCATTTGAAGCTTGTATCTCAAGTTATAATTTTTTGAATAAGGGCACTAAACCATTTTTAACTTAGTGAAATTTGACCTATTTTGACAAGGTTTTCTACCCTACTTCAAGACCACTTTTCATACCCTTCCACTTGGAATTTTGATTTGCATTTCAAAGATGGATTGTAGTACACGTTCCAAGCTTTCCAAAATGTCCAAGAACTCATCAAACAACCTCATAACTTGAGAGATTCGAATTTCACAAGTTGGCAAAAATTCACTTTTGTTCTTCATCAAGACATGTTCATAAACTTGGCAAATTTGAACTCAGCATAGTTTGTGCAACTTTACAGGTCCTTAAACCACATTACACTCCTTAATTTAATGCTTGTTCATTGTGTCTAAGTGTTGTTCCATGAATTCAAGCATTGTACACAAGATTGATCCATTTTTGGATAAAGTGGAATTTCCATTTTTGAAAAGGTTAACTTTATGTCAAGTTTGTAATCCA